CACACACACACACATACACACACACACACAGCAGGTCAGAGCATCTGAATTTTATAGCCCACAGTAACAACACAACCACAATCAAAAATAATATATTTTGATGCAGTGAAGACTAGGCTTGCTGCGATAGACGGTGTTTTCGGTTATACGGGTGTTAAGCCGCAACACCGGTTACGTCATTTGCCTACCGCGGCACCGCCCCCCACCGTCGTTTAGAGAAGATTGTTTAGAAAGGAAATGCAAAGGCGCCTGTTTGGCAATATTTTAGATTTTGAAAAGCCTATTGACTGGATTTTTTTTTTAAACATTTGTTTCTTATTTATTTGGTTCCACATTGTTTGCTGATTACTTTATTTAAACTTTGTTTATTTTATTTTACATCAAGGTGTATATGCCGTGCCTCCAAGCTTTCTTGTTAGTTTTGATAATAAACGTTCTATATTTCTTATTTAGTTGGTTCCACAGTGTTTGCTGATTTTCAGTTTTATATACCTATTTAAACTTTGTGTAGCCTAAATAATTTGTTATTTTATTAGGCATATATGGTGATTACGTGATATGGTGATACGCTAATTTGAAAGTGAAAGTAAAACGCGCACGGCACTTTTTCAAGCTATTTGAAAGCCAAGAAATCCGAGGAAAAGAGGGAAAACTCAAAAGAACAATTGCTTGACGCCGAATTGCAATTCAATTCAATTGCCGCAAAAAACTCAAACGAACTAACTTGCTTTATTACTGATTAAAATTGTATAATATTATTAATAAAATATTTTTATTACTTTTATCATTGATATACTATTTTACCATTGTACCATTATACTATTGATCTATATTATTTTTGTTAATATTTTTAATAAAATTTTCATTAGATTTTATTTTTACATTTTCTGATTTCATTTTAATTGAAAGTTTTATGAATTTTTTTGTGGTTTGTCATTTCTTTTTTTTTTTTTTTAAATAAGAAATGTTGCCGTTGGCACCATTGTACCATTATACTATTGATCTATATTATTTTTGTTAATATTTTTAATAAAATTTTCATTAGATTTTATTTTTACATTTTCTGATTTCATTTTAATTGAAAGTTTTATGAATTTTTTTGTGGTTTGTCATTTCTTTTTTTTTTTTTTTAAATAAGAAATGTTGCCGTTGGTACCATTGTACCATTATACTATTGATCTATATTATTTTTGTTAATATTTTTAATAAAATTTTCATTAGATTTTATTTTTACATTTTCTGATTTCATTTTAATTGAAAGTTTTATGAATTTTTTTGTGGTTTGTCATTTCTTTTTTTTTTTTTTTAAATAAGAAATGTTGCCGTTGGTACCATTGTACCATTATACTATTGATCTATATTATTTTTGTTAATATTTTTAATAAAATTTTCATTAGATTTTATTTTTACATTTTCTGATTTCATTTTAATTGAAAGTTTTATGAATTTTTTTGTGGTTTGTCATTTCTTTTTTTTTTTTTTTTAAATAAGAAATGTTGCCGTTGGCAACTAGCTGAAATTAAATATATGTATAATAATAAATATAAATATATAAATGTTAATATTTTATTTCACATCAGTTATTGCTTTTTTTTCAAATGGTTTTTATTTTAAGTTAATGAGAATAACGCTGACACACACCACTGGTCAGACTAAAACTAACAGAAAATGTAATTAAATATTTTTTTATATAATAAAAAAACCTTTCACACAAACATTAAACAACGTACCATCAATGATGTGTATATAACCAAGTGAGAATTACTTTTTTAATCACCTCTTGCTGGAAAGTTGTTTTCTATTGTTTTTTTTTTGTATTTTCATCAACAACATGAAAATCAAGGCACTTTTTATCAATTATACAAATTATACAATGACTTTAATTTATATGATTAAAGTTTTGTTGTTTTTTATATTTTCTGCACTAATGGCCATCCATGGAAAACAAAATGACCAATAAATAAAAGTCATATGGTTGGTACAACTGTCAAGCATCTGGTTCACTCAATATACATCAAAATATTTGTATGTTATTTAATAAAATATATATTGTGGAATGATTCCTTTAATATGGAGTTTCTTGTCTGGATTTTTTTTTTTTTTTTGGGGTACACAAAATACTAAATGAAGGATCGATTCAAATATGCTTGTGCATTTCCTTCACGGAAGTTCAGTAGTATGTTCTTTAGAACTAATTAAAAGTATATTTTAGCCTTGACTTTACACAGCAATAAATTGAGCACACTGGTGGCATTTTCTCTCGAGACAGCAGCATTATGCTGTAGAGAATGCCAAACACATGACTGCAGATGTAGTCACGGCTTGTGGTCTTCCCTGAGGCCCGATTAAATGTGCAGATTAACAAGCAGCTATTCACATTTGACACACACACAAACAGCTCACCATCACCAAAGCAAAACTCAAACCATCTAGATATCTACAGTCATCATGTGTGAAAGTGCCTCGCTGATTATGTCTTCATCAAGTTATCTTGAAGTCATAAATGTGTTTTTCATGATTACTCTTACACTCTCTGACCCTTAAAGGGTCATGAAACCCCAGACTACTTTTTCTGAGAGTTTAGCAGAGGTGTTTGTGTTTCACATCATAGAAGACAATGTTAGCATCCGATAATTTTAACTGTTGGAGAAAACTGTACATTTTAGTCAATTTTAAGCTTTTTTGCACTATTTTCATCTTCCGGGTTTAAAATCTACATTGTGTTGACGTCACAATTTGTGACGCGGCAATGGACTATAGTACATCGATGACGCGTCGGTGTCTATTAAATTATTAATGAGACTGCATGTTCTTATCCTATGAGAAGAGACTCTGCTTAATTATTCACAACAGCATGTGTTGATTTGCTATGACAGATGTTTCAGACTGTGAGACTGCGTACATTAACTGAGAGAAACGTTAATGGATCGAAGGAAGGAGAGCATTTGTTTTTGCTTTGTAATAAAAGTTCGGCACAAACGCGATTCATTCACTTGGTGAGCATAACGATTTTTACAGCTCTGTGACACAACCCGTCAAAAGGTTTATATAAACGCCACAGAATAAGCCTTAAAAGTTCTCAGAGGTGCAACAGTGCGTTCATTTGTTTTCGATGCAGAGTGCAAATGGAGTGTTTTTGTGTGTTGTCTGTCTCCCCTCTTCCCCCTCCTCCGCTCCGCTGCGCACCACGCCCACTTTTTTAGCATTTTTTTAAAACTGGTGAGAACTAACCATAGACTGTATAAAAACATGGAGGTAGTGTCCGTGACGTCACCCGTAGATTTCCGAAGAGTCACCGCGCGTCACTCCCGGATAATCGAAAATGGGCAAAGAGGCGGGAGCAGGTTGCTGAAGCCACGCCCACCACCCTTTAAGGTACAATCACAGTAACATTACGTGACGTACTCATTTCAACAGGAATTCACGCCACTGGGATTTTTGCATGAGAATGAAAGATTTCCACGTGCAGATTTCACAACGGATTCAGCTGGTTGCACCAATTTGTTATTCTTCTTCTATTTGTTTTGCTTGACAAATCTTGTGTGTGTGTGATGTGTGTATATATGAGTGTGAAGGCATGTGGGAAGACACCAAATGTTTATTCCTGGCAAGAGCCCTACTCCTGTCATGGAGTTTCTTATTTGTTGCCTCTGATAAATAAATTAGAGGTTAAAGAAGTCACCGCTTGCCACTGCTATATGGTTCTGTAGAGTCGCTCTGTCAGATATTCTGAGGACTTCTCTGAAGATGCTCAGTGAGCAGACTAGGGAGGACGTGTATGTGCCTCCGTTGTACAGTTTTAAAGGTTTGTCAAAAGGCTCATGGAAATCACAACGACAGCACGATTCCAGACACGTTCACGTGTCCCTGCATGAATAGTGCTGCTGCTGACATGTAGACAGAGACTGACGGCTGGCCTTAAGAGCACAGAGAGCTGCGTGATTCACACGCGACATGACAAACTGCATTAGAAGCAGGCGCACACTGACTCACTGCTGACTTCCTGCTCTCTAGCCAATAATCACGAGCGGAGTGTGAAGTCATCACACCACTGTCACTATCATCACTGCCTGCTGACAATATACTGTCACACAGAGTACTTCTAGTTCTTCACTAGTTCTTCAGTGCTAAGCGTCAGCATCCATCCTCTGTCTTCACTAGTTTACAGTCTGTTTAACACTTCTAATAAATTATTAGAACAAACTTTTAAACACTATATGAGAAAGTATTACAGCATTTGCTTTTATTAGTAACAGAAAGGCAAACGCTATAGGCTAATACTTTCTCATCTGCTATCAGTTTTCAGCAAATATGCATTTATATAATTTAAACATACATACACACATATATATATATATATATATATATATGTATATTTAATAAACATCTAATTTCACAAAACTTGCAAACCTGGTGAATCCAGCTGTAAGATTTATCTCCAGAAATATCCTGGCTGGATTTTCTGCTCAAAATGTCCAGGTTTTGATATTGTTTTCCTATTATTTTCATACTTGCTGAAGTTAATGACTGAAAAGTAATTTGACCAATAGCGTGCAAGCGTTGTACATTATTGACCAATTATGTATGGCCGCGTCCACGAGGATACTATGATGTATGTGTGTCATATTCTTAATTTTATTAATTTTATATTATTTTTACATATATTTTAAATATTTTTTTATTTGTGAAAAATACTATAATATGATTACAGAATCAAGAAGCTACCATATAAAGAATACATTTTTTTTTTTTTTTACAAATTTCATTTGATTAAGTTCATATTTTTTCCATTTAATTCATTTTCAAAAGATTTATTATGATCTAAATTACTACATATGTAAAATAAATGTAATTTCAGCAATTATGCATGTTTTTATTATCTTTAAATGACAGTGTGATGTCAAACTGTAGCTGTCAAAGGAATCCCATGTGAGCAGAATGAATTTACTTATGCGTATGAGACGTCTCCACCTCAGCATCGCATTAGTATTCGTGTGTGTGTGAGTGTGTGTGTGTGAGTGTGTGTGTGAGAGTGAGAGTGTGTGTGTGTGTGAGTGAGAGAGTGTGTGTGAGAGTGAGTGAGTGAGTGAGTGTGTGTGTCTGTGTGAGAGTGAGTGAGTGAGTGCGTGTGAGGCTACGTTTACACTGCAAGTCTTAATGCACAGATCCAATCTTTTGACCATATCCGATTTTTTGGCACATCTGTTTACATTCACTTTAGACACGACTGGTATCCGATATCTGTGTTTACATTAATCTGAAGTGTCTGCAGGCCACCACCAACGTCCGCAAACCCTTCTACAAAAGTGAGATGGAACAAACCAATATGAACATGATTTGCTGGAACATGAGGAAGAAAGTCCATTCTACTGATTCAAACCCAAATGAAGGATCAAATTTGCTGTATTATACACAAAATAATGTAATACAAAAGTTGATGTAAAGAACTGAGAATGAACTGCTGGCCAAGAAATTGCTTGAAAGCTCCATGACCATAAATGAGTTAATGCTTTTAAGCACAGACATAGAGAGCATTCAGCGTATGGAGGAGCATTTCAATGTGGCTGTTGTGGCTGAAACATCCCATGAGTCTCAATACAATCCTCTGAGAACTCTGTCTGTGTGTGTGTGTGTGTGTGTGACAGTGGTGATGTGGGTCTGAGGACACTCTCATGGGTTTCAGCACAGCTGATAATGAGGAGCTAATTAACTGCAGCGCTCTCATCAACATCATTTGAATTAAAAAAGCTGAACTCAGACCAGACCTTGACATTTCAACGAGACTTTTAGATGTCTGAAGAAAAAGTTTAGCAGGCGCTCGCCGATCCATGCTTGCGAGAAGCTGTTAGGGCATTTCGAGGTGATTGTCTAGGTAGTTGTTTCCTGCAGAAATCAAAGTCTCTGCAATATTCTGGGGCCGGATTCTTCATGACATATTCTTAATAATAAAATTCTCTGTAACTGCTATTTGTTGTCAAACTTAATAATAAAGTTAAGAATACTTTGTATTCTCTAAAACATTTAATAATGTTATTGTCTTATTTTTTTAAGATTGTTCTAAAGAAAAAAACTTAAGAAGAATTTGAATTTCCAAAAAAGAATCTTATTAAAAATCACTGTAAATAAACACATTTGCAAAATTTTAAAAAATTATCCATTTTCCATTGTCAATAATATAGGGATGTGTGAATCACAGCTCACACAGAAGCCAAACCGCTTTCTGCTGGTCAACGTGAACGACTGAGATGAAATTCCCAATCGCATGAATTCCTATTGAAATGAATGGAATTTGCCCACAAAATTTTGCAGAGTAACAGTAAATGTGACCGAACCTTAATAGGATTACTACTAACTAGAGTGAACTAGTAAGCCAGCATGGCAGCATGATGTAGAGAGCTCACCAGAGCAAACTCATCCACGTGGACTCTGGTTTTATCGATCTCTCCGCTCGTGGTGTAGGGCAGAACGGCTGATTCGGCTCCTTTCGTGAATAGCACCTTTTCACCTAATGAGAGACAGAAGGTCATTAGGTAACGCTCACGCGCCGCTGTTCAGTCTTAAACGGCACAAGCGTGTTCAGAGGCACATGCCTGAGGGCTTCTGCAGAATCACACTCATTCTCCTGCGGTTCGCGTCGAATTCCAGAATGTGGAGGAGTTTGTACCTGCGTGCAGAAAGACAGCTGTTAAACAGACAACTCTAAAAGCTAAACAACCTTCTGAATACGGTTAACATTTAGTGAGCTAAAATAAACAGAAGAGTGTGATGTACTTCTCTGCTTTTCCTAATGTTTTAATCTCCATGATTTCTCCATGGCTTCCTATAAATGTGACACCCATCCTGCAGTCAAAAAGATCATTTAAAGATATAGTTCACCAAAAAAAATAGTTTTTTTTTTTTTTTTCTTCCCACAAATGTTTCAACAATCATGGTCAAAAGAATATATTTGGCACATTGACTGCAAAAATACACAGACGTATGTGAGCTACAGCTGTGCTCTCACCTCTTGGTGGCTTCCACGAGTGCTTTCTCATCAGGAGAAGAGGCGTAATACTCCATCAGAGGCGAGAAGCCGTTGGCATGTGAGAACGGGTCTCCCGGCCCATCTGTTTGATCATAACTGATCTGCACCGTGTGACACAGTGAGACGGCTTTCAGGAACAACTCCTCCTCCCCGTTCTGAAAGGTGTACACACACACTTTGATTTATATACCTGATAATAATAGTATTAAATAATAATAATATACATATGTGTTTTAGTTATTTTAGTACATTAATTTCAATTAAAATGAGAAATGCCTTGGCAACTAGCTGAAATTAAAAAAAGTTTTTTATATTTATTGTATTTCATGATGTAATTTTGTCTTTTTCATTCAATGTTCATTAGAAGTCCAAGCAAAGTGTGTCAAAATTGCACCTATAGACGGTGCTACAACTGAAAATCTTTAATTATGGCATAACCGTATGATCAATAAAGTTGAAAACTGGTATGCATCATCTTCGGCGGGTGTCCTAACATATCCTCTAAAATGACTCGGCTATATAAAAAAACATTGCCGCCAGCTGCCAATCAACTTTCAGTGGCTTAATTACGCCAAATCTGAATGTCCTAATGTTACAAAAATTGATATATTCGTACATTGAGTGAAAACGAGTATGTTCCTCAAATTTTGTGAAATCTCTATAACAAGTTTTTGCCAAAAACGTAAGTCTCCCCAAATAAGCTGATCATATCTGTATCAATTTCCTTAAAAAAAAAAAAATAAAAAAAAACGTTTCTGTCATTGATTTTTTCCCCCCCAGTTTTTTCTTTTGTCAAACTTTTTCATCCCTGGCCATTGGTCCGATTTTCATGAAATGTTATCAACTAGACATGCTTCTGACAAAAAAGTATCAGAAGAATTTTAATTAACTTAATTGTTTAGCGCAGGGGTGTCAAACTCAGTTCCTGGAACCGAGTTTGACCCCTGGTTTAGTGGATATAGGCCGATATGTTTTTGGGTGTGGCCCATATTGTTTAATTAGCCTATATCTTGTGATCATATCATCCAAACTTCATGAAACTTAGAACATATGGACAACAGAATATTCCTAGGAAACATGCCAGCTTTCATGAATTTTCAATGCAAGAGGGCACTATAACTTAACACTAACCTAATAGTGCAACTGTGATAAACAAGCTGAGATCCGACTCATACAAAGAAGTACTCACAGCATCCACAGGAAAGATTCTTTTGAAATTCACTATTTTGATTATGTTTTCCAAATTTACTACATACAATGAAAATGAATGGAATGGTAAAGTGTGTTTCTGCACCACTATCCTCACCAGCAGAATTGTACAAATGAACCTTACCAAACAAGGCACCGATCCGTCTGGAGAGTCTTCTGTCATTCCTTCAGGGACGAGCTTCCCGTTGATCTCCTGGTATTTGATCCCGTTGATAGAACACTCCCTAAACTGCATCTCGTTCTCAGTGAGGGTTCCCGTTTTGTCTGTGAAAACGTACTCCACCTGCGGGCGCAACATTAGCATGGTTTACTCATCTCAGGTAGTATTATAGCTGGGCAAACAGTTCTAATCACACACACACACCTGGCCCAGCTCCTCATTGAGGTCTGATGTGTTGACTTGAGCCTTCTGGTCGCTCTCTTCATGGTACAGATCCAAGTCCCAGCCAATGAAAAAAGAGCCCAGAAACTTCTGCAGCTCAACAGTCACGTACAACGAGATGGGGATTATGAAGTTGTACAACACCAGGAACGCCAGGAAGTCGGAAATAAACTTTAAAATCTGTGAGGAGAAAATCACCAGCAGTCTTAATGAAACCTGATCTGCCAGACGTCTCATAGTATGAATTTTAAATGTAAAATAACATAACCATTATAAGCTGAGTTTAGACACTTTATAGTGACCTGGCTGCTGTTTCTCTCCTGATCGGTCTTCTGGTTGTAAAACGGCTCGTCCCACTTGTTCTCTGCCTGCCAGGCGTACTTCAAAATAGTGCTGAGGATGGCTTCAAACAGCAGAATGCCCAAGTAGATGATGAGAAATGTATTCATGGATCTGCACGAGAGACACGATGTGGTCATAATGGAGCACTGAGAACTGCCTGACGTAAAGCGGTTGTGTGACGTGGAAATGGAAATGACGACACACATACTTCTCCACTGCAGAGCGCTTCTGGGATTTGCACTTGTAGTTCAGAGCCATCTTGGACTCCATGCCTGTGTACACGGCTACACCTGCATGATACAACTCCAGTTACGCTCACACCATCAAAAGGTGTCATTGGCAAGATCACAATTTTGATTAAACATTACAAACTTTTTTTTTTTGGGAGTAAAGTGCAGTGATAAGTTACGAAATAAGTAAACAAGGTCCATTTTGAATTCATGTTGACTTTAAATGTCCTAAGTTGGACCCTGATGGTGTGAATGCCATACCAAAGATTTCTTTGGTGTTTTTTAATCTTGCTCCCCGAAGCAGGAGGTTCTCTGATCCTAAGGGTCTGAAAGGAATAACCAAAAATATAAATAAACAAACAAACAAATAAAAAATAAACAACCTAAATACTTAAACACATACAATTTACATAAAATAAATGACAAAACATTAATAATAAATAAACAGATAATTTCTACATATATATTTTATAAATAGTCAAAACCGTATTCATCTCAGATTTGAAGCTGGTCTTACCTGACTATCTCCTCTCCTTGTTGGGTTACTGTTATTCTCCCGACAAACCTGAGAAGAGAGAACGTGCAGCGTCAGGACTCACAGAACGGAGAACAGCATCAAGCCAACTGTGTGAGGAGGATTTCGGTGATCTGACTGTGAATGGTACCTGTATAAGTCTGCCTCTGGCTGCTGGCACTCCACCACCGCCTGTAGAGACTCCAGCCGTGACACCGACTGCGACACCGCCGTTTCTGGCACCGCATAGTGTGTCTGCACATCAGCAGAGAGAACACATTCAGTCTGAGAATCTGACACATCTCACTTCTGACTTAACAGCACATAAATGCTATGTGTTACATATATTGGACAGCAGACACACATGCACTGTCAAATAAAAATATCTGGATATTAAATCACTTTTATTAAGATATCTCACATTAGCCAGACACAGATGGTGAATTTGTGATTGTTTTATCAGAGAGCAGTATTTGTGAAGTGGTTAAACATTGGGGATGGGCGATAAGCAAATATTTATATTACAAAATGTAAATTTCATGGAAACCTGAAACAAAAAAACTATCATAAATGCCAATTTCCAAAAGAATGGTAGGACCACAAATATGATAAACATTTTATTATTATTTAAATAGTCATGAACATCGCAATGAAACACCTTAATAAATAACTACAGTAAAAGGAGGAAATTATATAAAGAAACAAAAAAAAATAAAAATCTCAAAATACTATTTTAGAAAGAAACTCTAAATACTAAGTCTCTAATAATATTTTGACCAAATTGAATAATGTTTAAATGACCGATAAACAATTAAATAAACAAGTAAATAAAAATAAAATTTTATCTATGTATTAAGATGCATTTACTGTTCTGCAATTTTTTCGAGGGCGAAATCCAGTCATTTTAATAGGAATCCACGCGACTGGGAATTTCACACGAGGGTGAAAAATTCACACACAGATTTGGCAACTGGTTTTCACACTGATTCGCCGCATTGACCAACAGAAAGCTGTTTGGTTTGAAAATGGCTTCTGTGTGAGCTGTGCTTCATACATTGCTACACTATTGACATTTCATGATGGATTTCATGATGGATTACATATTTCAGTTGTCCATTTTTGTTACGCAACTTTTTTTTCTCTCTTTTTAGAGATATTTTCTTTAATTCTGCATCTTCTCAATCACACGTTTTGGATAGCCTTTCCTGACACACTGAAAACCTTTTTGACGACTATATATACACTCCACATTAAAGCTCATACAGACATTACTCAGCATTTCTTGAGCTAATCCACTCAGTCTCTCTGCACATTTGACAGAAGCTGCATAACACAGTGAGCTAAATATGACAGCAGAGCTTAGTGGAGGGTCATTTCGACAAAACCAGCCAGAAAATACACTCAGTTTCGTTTCACAAGCCTTCAGTATACAAAAACTGCTTTGAGGTGGACGTCGCTGAAAGTAACAACAACTTGTGGTTCAATAAGTGAGTCACGTGTTTATTCAGTAACCTCTCTGAGAAATTCAGTGAGACGCTGTTGTTTAAGAGCACAAAACACAGACCTTCAGGTTAGTCTCTCCATCCAGGCTGGCAGTGGTGATGTGACACGTCCCCTCGGCCCGATCTGATGACAAAAGCACCAGATCTGCAGGAAACGTCTCATCTTTGGCTACTCTCACAATATCACCTACCTATGAGTTCACAGGAGGAATATCAATTTTTAAATATTTATTATTTGAAGTTGTCTGGCAGAATTAATCATGGGATCCCCAGTGCTGTTGGCTGAAACTCACTCGGATGTTTTTAGATCGGGTTTGGACCAGACTGCCACTGCGCACGACAAATACAGGTGCTCCGTTCACTTCATTGTCAGCTTTGTGCCTCAGCCAGTCTTCATATCCCTGTATTTGAGAGCGGGATTATGAAAAACAGACAACTGACTGGTTATCCTCCAATCAGTCTGGCACAACACTGCGTACACGTCATGATCCATGAACACGAGCTGCCTAAGCACGCTCGTACACTCACCTGTTTGATGGCAGTTACTGTGATAACAAAGAACAGGGGAAGTCCACTAGTTATAGGGGAAGTGGGCGTGTCTATCATTAACTGTAGGGGAGAGAGAGGATCTGGTTAGAAACAGGGCAGAACTGTGTCATATACTGCCTTTCCCCTCCACAAACATGCATCGCCTTTGAAAGAAAAAGGAGACATGTTTCATCTAGAAAAACGGTATCTTTTTAACATTAGGGCTGTGCACTCTCAGAAAAAAAATACAAAAGCTGCCACTGGGGCAGAACTAGGTGTGTGCGATATATATTGTCTGCGATAATATCGTAATTGTTGTTTTAACGATGTGCGATTTAACATTATTGAGCATTTTGCAAAAACCATTCAAAACATCCCTACAGAGCGCACGCATACATTACGTGAAGTCTAGACTAGTGCGTGTGCGCATTTAGTGTGTTTTCGTTCACTGCGTGATTCAGTCTATTAAAATGCATTTAGAATGATCTCAAATTCAAGACATGATGGCAGAAAATTTATATATTTATACCACTTCATATAGTTATTCAATTTCACACGAAGAGTGCTGTTTTTCTCCAAAAATTATCATGATTACAAATGTGAGATTGAATTCAACAAAAAACAATAAGTTAATTAAGAGACTTACGTTTTAGACCCCATATTGCTTGTTTTTGCTCTATTTCGCCAACAAAAATCATTCCGAATACAGCCACAGCGCTGTTTTGTGTCTCTGAGCAACATGACGGTGGTGTTTCGGTCTTGAATGAATCAACCGTTTAAATGATTCAGTTCAATCGCAATGACTCACTTATTAGAAAATATTGAGATATAATTTTTTGTCAATATCACACACCCCTAGGCAGAACCCTTTCAAAAGGTACACATTTGTACCCCAAATTTACCCCAAAGGGGTGCATATAAGCACCTTAACGGTTACCTTTCAAAAAAGGTTCTGCCCCAGTGACAGCTTTTGTGCCTTTTTTTCCCTGAGAGTACGATATATTATAAATCCACACAATATTTGTGTTATTACTATGTTGGCAACATCAAATATTGTTTATATTGCAATGACTTTAAAGGTGTGGTCACATGTTCCATAGTTCTGTAAATTTTCCCAGGCAAAATCCAGTCATTTCAGTAGGAATCCATGCGATTGTGAAATTCACCGAGTGAATTCAGAGCATAATATAAGGTGTGACTTCAGGCAAGCATGATTTCATGCTCACATTATCGGTTGGATGACATGTTGAGAACGACAGGTGAACAGTGATTGTTGTTGTGTTGTACTTTAACACGACCAAGGTGTTTGTAGTGAACATAATCTTTACTTACAGGAACTGTTTCTAACACTGATGTCGCTGAACCTGTATTGATTTTTCAAGCCAGGGATTATGACGCTAAAACAGCCTCCAAATATATTTATGATAAAATATGATCCACAAATGCGGAAGCTAATTTACATGACCAGAAAGTTGATATATTTGCAAACAGCAATTCTCAAAGTCATTACCTAACTCATATTCACAAAATATTGTGAACAAGTATTTTGTGAATGCGAATTGGATTATGAGTTTGTGAACAGCTGTTTCCGAATGCGAATGTGAAAAAGGTTGCACAATTTTGTTTTTTTTTATTTTTTAGACTCTCAAAGTACAGCAGCTCTCCTGTGGGAAACACTGGTGATGAAGATCATCATCAGCATCACACACTCAGCTGAGAGCTGGGAAACACGAGGACAACCTGGGCTTACCTGAACCAAGAAGATGATGAGAAAATAAAAATTGGCGATTCTTCTGAACTGCTCAAACAAATTCTTGGGGATGAAATTCCATATGGTGTACTACAAAAAGCAAACAAAACAGCGTTGAGGATTTTACTGCCAAATTCTCAACATGAGCAGGGAAACATGCACACGCGAGTCAAGTGATTGTAGGTCTTTTTTTTTAAGACTTTTTCACATTCAAGCGTACAGAGCAATCATGCTGTCTGCTCTTACCTTGGAGGAAATGATCCTGTTGTCTGCAAACCTCTGAGGAATATAATGCCCATGCTGTGGGAACTTGTTTGCTATGTAAACTGTGCGTGTGTCACTCTGATGGGGAGGGTCGAAGCCCTGGAAGAGATGAGGAGAGACGGGTCAGTCAGTGTGACAGACAGACAGGCCAGAGACATCAACAACTGCTGTTAAATATTTTACCTATGGCGATAGATAATATAACAGCCATTGGTGAAACCGTGATCGAATCGTAAAGCTTATAGAGAACAGTACACTGAAGAAGCGGAGAGTCTGGTGGGAAGGCATAACACTCTGCCAAAGTCATTATTAATTCAGTTAGTGTGCAGCAAACAATTCATTATGGGAGGCCTTTTCACAGCACATGAGAGCTAAATCACTTACTATCGAACTCCTACTGCTTTCTGACTTTCTTTTTGGTCGGCAGGCCAGACGCACATCCTGTATGTGACAATCAGAAGCCAGATTCACGGAAATATTTTTAAGAGAAGAAGATTCTAAAGATAAATTATTTTTGTGAGAATGTTCCTAATTGCAATTCTTGACAAATTCTTAATTTTTAAAAATATTTTCTTAAGAGCATCTTTTTTAAAAAGCAAGAAAAATACAGGTTTTGGCACTATCTGATTGTATGCTGGTTCTTGTCGAAGACTCGCTGATCAGCTTAATAATGGAAAAACATTGCAAATGTCGTCTTTTTGCAAATTACCATAATAAACACAAGCAAGCATGAACACTACTAGTGGTTGACCGATATTGTTTTTTTGACAGCCGATGCCGATATCTTGGAAAGCAGGGTGACTGATGGCCGATATAAAACAGATATAATTTTATTTCATATTTAAGAAATTTGAAATCATTTGAAAATGGATTAAAATTGTATACGCATTACATCTAGCGTATCCTATCGGCCTTGGCGATATATCGGTCGACCACTAAACACTACTTTCTGGCTTGACTGGAGTTCAGCACTCTGACTTGCATTTATTTAATGTGAAGTCTGAAGTGCATTTTAAATGGTCATTTTTAAAGACCCTGTCTCTAGATGGCGTGGTCTGTTGCATTCATTTGCACTCTCTCTAGACTGAACATTGTGTATGGGAGCTATATATGTCCAAAAAAAAAAAAGGCAAAAATATTTAAATCATTTTTGTATTTTTTTTCAAATTCACCAAAAAGTCATGTCAAGCATAATTATAACATTTAATTGTTTACATTTTCATTAGAATAAATAGTGTTATGTTATAATGTTTAATTTTTTTAATCATCCAATAAATTCATTAAACATCTGACCTTTAGGGATTCAAGGCAAGTTGGAGGTTATCCTAACTTTAAGTGTTTATTTATGATGACTTTTAAGAACATTAATTTCAGGAATTAAATTTTTCCCTAAGTTTTGTCTTCACAATCCTAAAAATCCAGTCATTTCAATAGAAATCAACACAAGTGAGAGTATCGCGTGAGGGCAAAAAAGTTTCCCACACAGATTCCACTCATGTTCACGCCGGTCGCAGTGTTGACCAACAGGAAGACGCTTGGTTTGAGAATGACTTCCCTGTGAACTGTGCTTCATACATCACTGCACTACTGACAATAGAAAAATGACCCGTTTTCTACACAAAATTTCACTGAAATCCTGCTAATGCGACTGCACCTTTAAGAAAAAAAAAGAGAACATTCTTAAGAAATGTTTTTGGGACTACTAAATATCCTCAACTTTATTCTCAAGTTAAAAAATAAAATAAACTAGCAGTTAAGTAATCCAGTCCCAGATTCCAGGAGCGGTTGAATTTCCTCACACTTCACAACATGTAATGGCTTTGGTTTGTGGAACATGTGACGGCTCTTTGCATAGACACAAACTCTCAGTCCACCTAGTGCTTTATGCAAATGCTTCTGCAGCAGCACACTGGAAATATTCTCTACAATGCTGAACCTTGAGCCTCTGACAGATGGTGTCTGTGCGGATCGGCTTCCATTGACTCTTGCCCAGAGGATGCTGGGAAATCTTCTTCCTGTGTGTTACACGGCCACGTAATCCGACCCCATCGGCAACACATGCCTTCAATTACAGTCTGAATCTTTTGACTGAGACTTTGTGTGTTTCCATCCCATTTCCCCTCTGCACTTTCCAAGAGTAAGACGCTGGAACGCATTCTGTGTGCCAACATGAACATCTTGTGCTGCTTTTTCAAAACTGTTTCCACTGTGCTGTGATTATGAATCCATGCTAACTGATTCCTAGATCTGTTAGATAGAAGAACACTTTTAAAGAATAGACAGAAAAAATATTTGAGTGAAAAAACTCTAAACTCTAGTAAGCTCAGCTGCCTTACTGTCATCCATCTCAACATTGTTAATTTTGTCATGATGTAGACAAAAACAATACCATTACTACAAGTATTGCACTTAACTACTATTACAAAATATAACTTTAACAGTTTATCACAAAACATACACATTTATACCAAAGCATGTGCTTTTGCTATAAAGGCCACAAAATATAATTGAAGAGAAAATCGAAGAACGAACAAGTGTTACAATTTCAAACAAAATCTGTCCAAACGAAGGTGTTCTGAAGTTATTTTGGAGGCCTGAAACGGCTCACCGAAGAAAACGTTCCTGACAACTTTCCAACGTGAACTTCCCAGAAAACTTCATGGCAGCTGTTAAACTCCTTCAATCTGCCATTGGTCCATGATGACTTTATAATCACCAGCCATTTCTGTTGTTTGTTGTGTTATCGATAGAATAGAGTACAGCACATATTTAAAGTGGCAATGAAACAGAAGTAGCGACGGATTTTTCTACTGTATTAGGACACCATAATAAAACACACGTGGATAATTAATTCACAATAAGAGCTGTAATTTTAAATATTTACAAAAACGTAACAAAGTGAATTCTCATTTCATGCCATCTTTAAATACTCCTCTAAACACCTCTTTCAGCAGTGTGGAGAACGTTGAAATGTTCACAAACAGCACGTTTGCGTCTATATTATGAACATCTGTTTGAAGAAGAACTTCAGAGAGGACTTTACTCACATTTCCAAAAAACAATTTTTTAAAATGTGCATTCTGCAAATTTTTTTGAGGTAAGGTGATATTTTAATAAGCTCTTATAAATAGTGTAATTTCATCATTAAAAACAGTGACAAATGTTTGTTGACAAACTTTTTAAAACATTAGCATGATCTGGAATTATTGGAAATCAGGACTCAGGAAATTTGAGGAATTTTACGGTTTTAGCTTTTGAGTTTTACATAATGTAGATATGTATGGTAATATAGCCTAATGAATCAGGAAACTAGATGAGTAAATGAGTAAAATAAACCGTGCGTACGAGTTAACATTCTCTTGATTTGTGCTTTTACGTGAAAGTGCAATAATTCAGAAGAAATGTAAAAAGAAATTTCTCAAATGACATCAATCAGGATCAGCAACAAAAATTACAATTTTGAACAAAATAATTGTGAATAACTGTTTAACTGGTTTAACTAGAGATGCACCAATTGCAATTTTCTTGGCCGATTCCGATTTCCGATTTTTTGTTAGTGTGATCTTCCGATACCGATTTTTGCCGATTCCGATTTTCTTCTAAGAACTATAATTGACAGCTCATACAAACAAAAATCTACTTTTCTTCAACGCAAAGTTTTATTTTCATAAAAAAACACAAGTAAAAAGTCAGTAATAAATGCAATAGAAACGAATGCGCAGCTGATGTTATTGCCTGTGCCTCTGGTAACAAAACGGATCGGCTCGAAATCGAAAATAAGTGAGACTGACTCGGATCAACGATCCGGGCCGATCATGAGGAAAATCGGCCGATTCCAATCCCTGGCCGATCGATCGGTGCATCTCTAAGTTTAACCACAAAAAACTTCACTGACTTAAACTAAAATGAATTCAGACTTTTTTTTTAACTAAAACTTCACTAAACCAAAACAGCATAGGTTGACTAAATATGATCAAACCTAAAAATGACATTTGAGTAAAGAAAAAGAGTAAGAATAAACCAAAAAGCAATTAGGACTAGCTGACAAAATTAACACTACTTGTAATGCAGTGTAAGTAACTGATTTGGAATTCACAACTCATTTCAATTTATTTTGACACTGACTAAGTACAGCAAACATAGCTGTAATGTAAAAAAAAAAAAAACCAATGCAGAGTAGGCTTGCCGCGGTAGACGGTGTTGACGGTGATACCGGTGTTAAGCCGCAACACCGGTTACGTCACTTGCCCACCGCGGCACCAACCCCCACCGTCATTTTGATTTTTTTATAGTAATAAAAATATTTTAGTTCAGTAAAAGAACAGACACTACAATTAAAAACTGAATGCGGCTGCTCAATGCAGCGTGCTGAACGACAGTCGCATCACAGATCAGATTTCATTTCTCCAGTGAAGAGAGTGAGTCGAGCTGACTGACAAGAAGAGAGAGGTGAGACAGACAAGACGATTTCCACATTGTTTGCTGAATTTTACTTTATTTAAACTGTGTCATTTTTTTATTTTATTTGACATTCGTTTTGCTAATAAACGTTCTATGTTTCTCATTTATTTTATTATATATTATACACGTTTACTTATTTCCAGTTTTGTATACCTATTAAAGTTTATGTAAGTTATTTGTTATTTTATATTAGGCATAGCTTGCCCTATAGCATGGTGTATTTTTATTTGTTTTGTTAATAAAAGTTCTATGTTTTATATATACGCTAAAGTGAGTTTGACGTTGTATTTTGTTGTTGCATTCAAGCAATTGACGCCGAACTGCCGCTAATTCAAAAGTGAAAGTAAAATGTGCACGGCGCTTTTAAGCTATTTAAAAGTGAAGGAAAGCGAGGAAAAGAGGGAAAATTCAAACGAACTAAAAACGAACAATTGCTTTACTCCGAATTGCCGCTATTTTAAAGTGAAAGTAAAATGGGCACACCGCTTTTACAAGCTATTTAAAAGCGAAGGAAAGCAAGGAAAAGAGGGAACGCCCCGCCGCTGCGGTGATACCAGTATTACCGGTGTTGTCACACATCGATTAACCGGTGGAAAATTTTCTCACCGTCACAACCCTAATGCAGAGGGATATTTGAC